CGTTCGAGAAGCGTACGCCGCTAGCCGGAGATACTGGTCTCAAACACTTTCGCGATATGATAGTGATGGAACGGTAGTTGTTACCTGCTGGATCCTCTTGTAGTTCTATGTGGCATGTATGTGTGCATGTAGTTCTATTTTCTATGGATAGTTCATAAATTTGAAAAGAAAGACAAGGTTGTGGCCAAGTGCGATGTTTGAGTGGTTAGAGTCATCACAATATAGCGACACAGTGGTCATGAGTTTGAACCGCGCCACCGCTACCCAGGTCTATTTCTGTATTTGCCAAGATAGACTTTCTACGGCCGCTTCTTCTCAACTGACTGGATATTTTTTGCTCGATGAAAAAATCAATAAGTAGTACTAATTATCGAAATAGTCCCACAGAGCACATTTCAAACAGAACAACAAAGTGGCGAACAAGCTCGTTTTCAGAGATTCGTATTCATGCAAATACATCTCAGTATATATCACTACTTGGGAAAATAAAACAAAATAAAATCACAGATGACCAGAAACGATTTCATCATGAGACCGGAAATCGGGCTCACTATGATTACACATTTGTTTGTTCACTCATCCGATCATCGAGATTACCCGTAAAAGGGCGCGTGTGTGGAGTGAGCCAGGGGAGCCTTATCGCATGCACAAATTGTTTTTGGGCACACAGAGGGGGGTTGTGCAGACGAGTGCTCACCGCTTCTACTGTAACCAGCATCCGACAGCGAACTTGCCTCGATAATCGCCCACGAACTTTGTACAGGAGTCGGAAAGCCTCGCACACGTTCACGGTGTGATTTGTTTTAGCTAGGTGTGAAACCACCGCACTGGTGAGTGACTTAATCGTTCTGATGTTCAGCCACGCAGGGTGGTGTTCACGAATCTGTTCGGACAATCGCCTGACCGTGCCTATGTACGTTGTTCCACTGGAACAGGTAAATGAGTATACACAGAATGAGACCGCAGAGTCTGGAACTTTGTCCTTCAGTTGCAAACACACAATTGAC